AAAAGCCTACCTACCTACCCAAACTTTTCAGCCTAGGTCAGGTGAGGGCAAACAAAGATTTTTTTAATTGTTGCCTGATATATTTGTGAAGCTAATGTGCTTCAGAGACAATTGAGAGAGGTACTGTAACCTATGGTATGAAGTCGCTGATTCGAAATACTCACATAAATGTGTGTTGTGGCCCACGTGCAAAATGTAAATGATGAATTTTTTGCTTCTCTGATCAAAACTATTTAAAGTTTTCATGATTTATATATATATATATATATGTAGTTAGTCATTGAATACATGGGATGCTCGGATGGATGATTTCCAACTGTATACCTATAGATTCACTTATGTATATTTATGTAAATTTCTTGTTAATTACAGAAGTATTCCGTCCACTATATATATTTAATGAACCAATTTGACATTATCTTCTAGTAATAGTTTTCTTTAAAAATATAGGAATTTAAGAGCATTTAAAATTAGTTGACTATGCAAATTGGACTATTTCTTACTGCCGACTATGAACAGGTTTGTGCATGCGGGTACTTATTTACAACATGATGTCATTCTAACCAACATAAAAGGCTTTAGACTAACGTGCTTATATGTATAACTAATGCTAGAACAGCTGTAAGGGCTAATGCTATGCCATTTTTGCTGAATCGTGTGGTTATAACAGCTAGGAATTTCAGGAAAGTTAACGAGCAAGCTTACAGGCACGAAATTTGCTGTAATTATTACTGTCGATGTTAAATTTGATTACCATTTAGACATCACCAGGAGTTTCGTGATAATTCTTTTGTTGTGTTTGGCAATTTTCGTTGTAAGTGTTGGAAAGTATATTGCTGGGCTACACTACTTCATGGACATTAAATAAACCTTATAGTGTTTGATATAAATCCTCGTTGACGAATTTGTTATTGTGGTGTGGTGAAATTGTGAAGACACGTGACGTGGCGATCGAGCCCGTTAGTGCGTGTGCGACTCCTGCCAATCATTGTGATAAACCAGGCAGCATCGCCATGTTACCACAGTGCCTTCCTCCCATAATGGGAGTGGCAGAGTCTATACATGAAATAACACATTATATAAGAAGATTATAGGATACCTATAACAGAGATTGCGTGCTTATATGGAACTACACCTATTGACCTCTGTATTGTAAGAAACCCTCATGTAATGCGAAAATGGAGGATGATGGTCACAGAGATTTCCGATATTTGTCTAGGACATTGTGTGTAGGTTTCTCAAGCAGAAAATACCAAGTTGACCTAACCCGACCAACATGAACACAGCTCCCAGCCAGGGAACATTTGCATACCTACCGCTGCTCCTGTGTGATACTTGCGGGATGTGAGAAGCCAATGCAGAGTACATCTACCAACAGAGCATACATGGCTCACGATCAACAGTTAACGAAAGGTTGAAGTTCAAAATAGTATACATTTACAGTATATTTTTTACAGTATTATTTTACACATAAGCCGTTGTTAAAATAGAATGTATAACGTAGAAGAAGACGTACTCAACAACAGTTAATTGACTATTTATACAATAATTTTTATAATAATTGACAATCTATGCATTGAAAACAGAACGTATTCAGCAGTAGTTTTTCGTACAAAAGCCATTCCAATATCTTACTTAGATGAAACGCCCATTCTCCGAAATCAACCTATACACGAGTTACTAATGGTCAGAGCTGAGCGCAGTGTGTTGTGTTGTGTACGAGGCCTCAGCACAACAGCAATATATATATATGTATATATATATATATTGCTGTTAGCGTATAGTTAGTTACGTGGCTTACTACTGACGTCATGCGCGCATAGTCTCTACTTGCTATACGTGCCGGCATGCCAGTGCATTATTTAATTGTCGACATCGTTATTAATTACGCATCAAGATCTAGAGTCATCGTTCAGATGGTCTATGCACAGGTAATGTATGTATCTCCCGCGGTAGTGCTGGGTTCACACAGGCTGGCTCGGCAGGCAGCACACATACGCTTCTTACAGGGGCATGTTCAGGCCGCATCGCTTGTCAATCACAAGGTAAAGTTTGCTTGCCACTGCCTACCCGGAGGACATTCCCACGGTCTCTCTGAACCTCGCTCCCAACGACGTACGGTAGAATGTTACTCGCTCGCGTTAGAGCGTTCGCGCGGTGGAACAAGGTAAAGGAATCGCCAGTACAGCAGCGACCGAGCAAACTGCGCCGACCAATGAGCGTGCGAGATCTTTTTCGAACCTTGACCAATGAGCGGCGGGATTACGAGGTGTCCTGTTGCTTATGTGAGGAGCGCTATTGTGCACGCGTTGTGTGACTGCCATCGCCTCGCGACTATAAAGTGTTGGAAAGCCGATCCCCTGGCCATTGCCTCGTTTCTCGTCGTCGGTGTACGATCGTCGTCGCATGCTACACGCTACGGCATCTTCGCCTCGCTACGCCACCCGCCGTACACGTCGCATATATGCAGTCGGATACATCGGGCAGAAAGGAGCAAACAGTCGACATGATGAGTGCAGGAGAGACCGTCGTCGAGCCGAGCAACCCGCCTACGAAACCCACGTTCCACTACCAGCGCTACTTCGAGGAGGCGGTAAGGAACGGCGACCGACACGAGCTGCAGCGCGTGCTCGAGACGTTTGAGGGATGCGTCAACGTGAATCTGTACGACAAGGAGGGCCAGACGGCGCTGCACCAGTCGTGCAGCGAGGGCAACTTGGAACTTGTCAAAGTGCTCGTGCAATTCGGCGCCGACGTTCGGCTCGCTAACCGCGACGGCTGGAACGCGCTACACATCGCGCTATTTGCCGGCCATCAGAACGTCGCCGTCTACTTGGTAGCGAACGCCGGCTCCCGCCGACGGTAGTAGATACGGCGCGCGCGCGCGCCGCGCCGCCGCCACCGCCGACGACTCTCACCTTTCCTCATCAGGGTGCCGGATCTACCTCCAGGAGAGGCACGAATCGCGCCGGGGCGGTGACCCCGGCGTCACCCTCAGTCCGTGAGTGAGTACGTAGTACGTGTCTGATTGTGCTGATGACGATGGTGACCAACCACCGCAGCCCTGACCACGAGAGACGAAGAGAGAGAGAGAGGGAGAGAAAGAGAGAGGAACGGTTCCAGCCGCCATGGCCAGTAGGACGCACGTACGACGCTCGCATGTGGTGCAAGTATCCGAACCTGCTTTGTTGTGATCTTCTGGACTCGTATAACCAGTTAGGTTTTGGCCAAGATGGCCGTTCAGTCTTGCCACGGTTCATCGTCAAGAGAGTATCGCGTACGCGTGCGTGCGTGCATTTGCGTGTACTGGCGCGCGTGTATGTGTGAGTGTGCGTGCGTGCGTGCGTGCATGCTCATCTTTCCTTCGCTTATCGAAGGGTTTAGAGGACAGTGTCGAACACGGACCCGTATCGCATATTTAATGAAGCAAATATTGTGATATACAGCTATACGTCTCAGTCTGACCATTAGACGTGGCAATTCTCACAGCTACGTATGCCACACCTATTTTCCCACGGTCTGACTTTGGTCGGCTCCACTGTACGCGCAAGGACGCCGCTGGCCGCGGGCAAGATGGCCGCCCGGCCTCGTGTGACTGCCTCCACACCGTCCGACCGCTTACACTGCAATTACCTCTATAGCACCGCATATATATTTATATATATATATATATATATATATATATCGGTAAATATTAAACGCCATTTCCATCCATCGTCGACTCACGTGTATTGATGAGATTATGAACGAACGATGTTCGCACGAGAGACAATTGCTGCTTCTGTCCGGATGTTTATTTTCGCCTGGATCTTTTCCACCACCACCTCCTCCCCCACCCTCCTGCGGCTGGTCGAGAGCTAGCGGATAGCTTATCTAACTATGAGTGAACGACGTGCGTCCCAGTTTAGCAGTAGCCTGAGACAATCTCATGCCGACTGTCGATGGCCGATCACCCCGTTGCGGCGTGCACGCAGGGAGGCACCAGCGACCGGACGCGCGATATGATGCGATATGACCGTTCAATGCAAATAGGATCGACTTCGTATCGCCCGACGAGTAAACAAGTCTAGCTTCGAGTGGCAGCGGTGCAAACGATATCGCGGTCCCGCGCGCGAGCATCGATGGCGCCCTCCCTCCCCATCGTCTCCCTCGTCTTCTTCTTCATTCTCCCCCTCTTCTTCTTCATCCTCCTCCCCACAAGCGAGCGGAACCGCGGAGCAGCAGCAGCAGCGGCAAATTTGATCGGAGGAGGCGTGAGAAGGCCTGCAAGTAACAGCCCTAGCGACCAATCAAGCTGGTTGAAGGCGGCGTGAGAATATAGTCAACACCAACAGCAGCAGCAGCAGCGACCGACCAACTTAGTCGCAGGAGCGGTGAGAATATAGTCAACAACAGCAGCAGCAGCAGCGACCGACCAACTTAGATCTCTTCTCTTTCTCTCTGGCTATCCACTTGCTATCTGTGTCATTGTCGGCTCATCTTCTCCCGCTCTATCATTCTCTCTTTATCTCCTCCTGTGTTTCTCTCATGGTATTAATTGATTTCACACCTGCTCCACTACTCGGTTATCCGTGCATGGCGACATTGTTCTGTCGTAAACTCATAAACGGTGAAAACAGAGAACTCGATATCTGCTCGTATGTGCGAACGAGCTCTACTCAGTCTATATTGCATGCCACCCTGAGCACGTCAACTTTGAAGCGCGCCACGATAACAGTTGAAAGCTGTTTCTTAGTTTCAGCCATATTAACGTTATGCACGCTGTTTGAACAATGTAATACTTCATTAATACTCGGCTATACTTACTTGAATCGATCAGATAACTGTTTGCCCCTGCCTCGTTCCCGAGCGGAGCTAGAAGTGTGTAAAGACCCACCAATACCTTATAATTTATAGGCTAATGCTATATAAACCCGCGCGCATTAACCACCCAGTATAGTACTACATATATTTAGCTGATGCCAGCAATATTATCTACGACTCAATACTATATCTATATAATAACAAGAGCTAATAATACCAATGGTTATATCGCCGAACGTGTTATACGATTAGTTGAACGAGTTGTTCAGAATGCAAGAATAGCCGCGGGGCGTGTATATGATGTGTATAAAAATCGGAGGGTTTTATTACCCGCGCATTCTATGAGTGACGATCGACGAAATTTCCACGCCTCGTATACAACGCAGACGAAACCTCTGATAACAGATGAGTTATGCAACCGTCCCATCGCATCGCCTCGCAGCGTCTTATAGCTATAGCAGACAGAGTATACGCACGTGTACGCATACTTCTTCGGAGTGCGTGCGCTGCTGCTGTTCGCGTCGGTGTTTAGCGAACGCCCGGCCGCGATCTCGTTTTTGCAAGATCGTCTGCTGTCTAAATAAACGTCAGTTTTATTTGCTATCGCGTCATCGCGCTTATCTGAACATCGATAACCTGTCTTTTTACGTGCGACCATGTTAGCTGATGTACGTATACTCATGAATATATGCGGCTTTTCCTCGATAGCGGGGAAGCACCGCTGACATATTATCAGGAGTAAGATAATATAGATCTATATTATATAATCTATATTAATCTTAATCTAATCTATTATTTAATTTAATCTAATCTACCTAATCGATCTACCTAATCTAATCTAATATAAATTTAATCTAATCTATTAATCTTAATCTAAATTATATAATCTATATTATCTTACTCCTGATATTATATCAGGAGTGAATAATAATAGATTATTATTATAATATATATATATATAATCTATTATTATTCACTCCTGATTATATGTAATGTTCTCTTCCCTCAAAACACTCGAATCGTCGAATTCATACGTTGTACATTTTACCCGGAGCATCACCATACGCGCTTAAGAGTACCGCTTACTTGTGTAAACTCAGTGGGAGCTACTGAGCAGCTGTATGCAACACGTTGAAGGTTTTCTTTCCCCCCATCTAGCATCTTTTTTTTGTGAGCGTAACCCAGATAGAACAGAAAGTCTCTCTCTCTCTCTCGTCGTGCTCTCTTCTCCATCAACAGGTCCGCGTCTCTCTTCTGCTTCTCTTTCTCATCCGCGTCGATCTCTCGTCCCTCACTCTCTCCATCTTTCTCCTGCTCGTCTCTCTCTCTCTTCTCTCCTCTCTTCTCTCTCTTTCTTATATACTATAATATATAATATATATATATATAATGTATAGTTATAGTGCTGTTACGTATAGTTAGTTACGTGCCTTACTACTGACGTCATGCGCGCATAGTCTCTACTTGCTATACGTGCGCGGCATGCCAGTGCATTATTTAATTGATCGACATCGTTATTAATTACGCATCAAGATCTAGAGTCATCGTTCAGATGGTCTATGCAACCAGTAATGTATGTATCTCCCGCGGTAGTGCTGGTTCACACAGGCTGGTCGGCAGGCAGCACACATACGCTTCTTACAGGGGCATGTTCAGGCCGCATCGCTTGTCGAATCGACAAGGTAAAGTGTTCGGCTTGCCGCGCCTACCCGGAGGACATCCCACGGTTCTCTTTGAACCTCGCGTCCAACGACGTACGGGTAGAATGTTTACTCGCTCGGTTAGAAGCGATTCGCGGCGTGTGGAACAAGGTAAGGAATCGCCAGTACAAGCAGGCGCACCGGAGCAAACTGCGCCGACCAATGAGTGGCTCGAGATCTTTTTTCGAACCTGTGACCATAGTGAGCGGTCCGGGATTACGGAGGTGGTCCTGTTGCTTATGTGAGGAGGGCGCTATTGGCACGCGTTGCTGTGTGACTGCCATCGCCTCGCGACTATAAGAGTGTTGGAAAGCCGACAATCCCCTGGCCAGTGCCATCGTTTCTCGTGTCGTCGGTGCTACGATCGTCGTCGCCATGCTGACACCGCTTAGCGGCATCTTCGCACTCGCTACGCCACGCGCCGTAACATCGTCGCATAATATCGCAGGTCCGATACATCGGGCAGAAAGGAGCAAACATGTCGACATGATGAGTGCAGGGAGAGACCGTCGTCGGAGCCGAGCAACCGCCTACGAAACCCACGTTCACTACCAGCGCTAGCTTCGAAGGCAGCGCGTAAGGAACGGGTCGAACGACACAGAGCTGCAGCGCTGCTCGAGACGTTGAGGGATGCGTCAACGTGAATCTGCGGTACGACAAGGAGGGCCAGAACGGCGGCTGCACCAGTCGTGCACGGAGCAACTTGGAACTTGTCAAAGTGCTCGTGCAATTCGGCCGCCGACGTTTCGCTCGCTAACCGCCGACGGCTGTGAACCGCCGTACACACCCTGCGGCCTTATTTGACCGGCATCGAGACGTGCGCCGTCTAACTGGTAGCGACCGGCCGGCTCCCAGCGACCGCGTAGTAAGAAGTACGCGCTGCGCTGCGCGCGCCCGCCTCGGCCGCCACAGCCGACGACCATCTCACCTTTTCCTCATCAGGGGGTGCCGGATCTACCTCAGAGAGGTCACGAATCGCCGCCGGGCGCGGGACACCCGGCGTCACCCCTTCAAGTCCGTGCAGTCGAGTACGTAGTACGTGTCTGAAATTGTGCCTGATAGACGATGGTGACCAACCACCGCAGCCCCTGACACGAGAGACGAAGAGAGAGAGAGAAGGGAGAGAAAGAGAGACGGAACGTTCCAGCCGCCATGGCCAGTAGGACGCACGTACGACGCTCGCATGTGGTGTGCAAGTATCGCGAACCTGCTTTGTTGTGATCTTCTGGTACTCGTATAACCAGTTAGGTTGGCCAGATGGCCGTTCAGTCTTGCCACGGTTTCATCGTCCAAGAGAGTATCCGCGTACGCGTGCTGCGTGCATTTGCGTGTACTGGCGCGCGTGTATGTCGTGAGTGTGCGTGCGGTGCGTCGTCAAGTGCTCCATCTTCCTTCGCCTATCGAAGGGTTTAGAGGACAGTGTGCGAACACGGACCCGTATCGCATTATTAAGAAGCAAATATTTGTGATATACAGCTATACGTCTCAGTCTGACCATATAGACGTGGCAATTCTCAGCAGCTTACGTAGACACACCTATTTTCCCAGGTCTGACTTTGGTCGGCTCCACTTACGCCGCGCAAGACGCCGCTGAGCCGCGGGCAAGATGGCCGCCCCGCCTGCGTGTGACTGCCTCCACACCGTCGACCGCTACACATCTGCAATACCTCCTATAGCACGCATAGTATATTTATATATATATATAATATATATATATATATATATATATAGTTTATATGCGTAAATATAAACCAGCCATTTCCATCCATCGTCGACTCACGTGTATTGATGAGATTATGAACGAACGATGTTCGCACGAGAGACAATTGCTGCTTCTGTCCGGATGTTTATTTTCGCCTGGATCTTTTCCACCACCACCTCCTCCCCCACCCTCCTGCGGCTGTCGAGAGTAGCGGATAGACTTATCTAACTATGAGTGAACGACGTGCGTCCCAGTTTAGCAGTAGCCTGAGGACAATCTCATGCCGACTGTCGATGGCCGATTCACCGACCGTTGCGGCGTGGCACGCAGGACAGGCACCGCGACGCGGACGCGCGATATTGATGCGATATGACCGTCTAATGCAATAGGATCGACTCGTATCGCCCGACGAGTAAACAAGTCTACTTTCGAGTGGCAGCGGTGCAAACGATATGCGCGATCCCCCGCGCGCGAGCCATCGATGGGCGGCCTCCCCTCCCGGATCGTCTCCCTCGTCCTTCTCTCATTCTCCCCTCTTCTTCTTCATCCTCTCGTCCACAACAGGCGAGCGGACCCGGTCGGAGACAGCAGCAGCAGCGGCAAAATTTTGATTCGGACGAGGCGTGAGAAGTGCCTGCAACTGGCAAGGTACACAGCCTAGCCGACGCAATCAAGCTGGTTTGAAAAGCGATGCGCTGGAATATAGTCCAACGGACCAACGAGCAGCAGCAGCGACCGACCAACTTAGTCGCAGGAGCGGTGAGAATATAGTCAACAACAGCAGCAGCAGCAGCGACCGACCAACTTAGTCGCAGGAGGCGTGAGAAGGTAGCAAGCAAGCAGCGGCATGCAGCAGGCTCTGACATCACGTGCGTGTACACAGTCTCTTCCCGCTCCAGCTGAACCCGCGTAGTATCTCTGCACCGCCGTGGGTTCTCACCGCCAGTCTCGGCACCACCCCCCCCCACCATCCCCGGTTCAGGTCGAACGCGCCGCCAAATTGCCCTCGCTATTAGCTCGATGCACGAAGAATGCTGAAAGTTCGGCTGTAGATACTGTGTTTTAACAGTATTGACTGCCGCGCCGCTGACGACAACCGCCGACGGGGTGTGCGCGCCCGCGTGATCGGCGACCATCTAGGCCTACGGAGAGCACAATGCAACTGTGAGAACATTTGCCGATGCGTGGGTATACGGCATGGAGCGCCGTA